GTAATACAACAATTATTTGTATAAATCCATTCAAAAGTTGTTTGCCCACTTTTTATTTTTTGACCAACCCTAAAAACAAACTTAAAACCTTGCTCAATGCTAAATCAAGTGAGCATGTAAACACAGTGCGTAACGTAAGCAAACGAGCTGCCATTTTATATCTAATTTAACTAAACTAATTTAATAATTTTTGGGTATAAAAAAAATTTTTTATTTTATTTTACAACTTTAGTAAAATAAGAAAAATAATACCATTCTTGATTTAATATAAAATTCAATTCCATTATTTTGCCGAAACGCACTGTTCTTTTTTTGACTTTGTAGACATTTTTTTGATTACTCAATAGCAAAATATTTTGTCTAACGAAATAAAGTCAACAAAAATATTATATATGCACGAACGACATGCCTACAATAAAATCTCGTTTATGACATGCAAATAAAATGTAAATTTAGTAGCCCAACAGTGAGCACGGCAGAATAGAATTGACCAAACGAAATAAAATTGTATAAAAAATTTCAACGAATTGAGAGAGCGAAGAGCAGAAGATAAATAAAAACAAAAGCCGGCCGCAATAAATAAAAAAAGCAAAACAAAGCCCGAGATCGACTCGAGGCGGCAATAAAAATTTGTCGACTGTGTCAGCGATCAAAAGCGTTCAAAAAGCACGTGGGGGCGTAACAAATAGCCAGATAGAGACAGAATGAGACGGGCAGAGGGCCAGCGAAAGAGACGACAAGTGTGGTGAAGAAGCAGAACTGATGCACTGAGCGTTACACTTGCTGTTAATGAATGAAAACGAATGGCGGTTGAATGGAGCTGGGAAATGAAGTGAAAACAATTCACAATGTCGTAAAAAATCAAGTAAAAAGACCATAAATAAGTACCCATTTCACGCTATAAAGTAAAAAGTACAGCAAATTAGAGTGTAATCTTGCAAATTTATCCTTAGAAATTCATTTTTAGTTTAAATCACGAAACGAAAAATTTTCCCATAACAAAGAAATACACATCTGTTTTTATAAACTCATTTGATTAGATATTTTTCCCATTATAGGTTACAAAATAAAGTCAAAATTTAAAATAAAAATAGTTATCGAAAATAAATCTGATTGTATTACGGAAAATCAGATGTTAAAGACAAAAAAATTTTGATTGAATGGTTTGAAGTTTAAGAATTCTCAATTTATTATAGCGATTGGATACTTTTATTTATTAATCAAACAATTATCACAACAACATCTTCATTGCGAAAACGAAAATTTCTATATTAATTCCAGAACAGAGAATTTCCATTTCAATGGCTTTAGGCACTTGATTCAACATTGTTTTACAATTATTGTAATTAAATGCCTTCCGAAAGAGCTGATCTTGAGCTAACCACTCATGCAAAACGAATAGTATTATGAAAGCGCTCCAATAACTTAGATAATGCTATAGACCGCCTCGATCCGTCTGACTGCTACAGATACCGTTGCTTTGGCGACTGCACTACAATGACAACGCGAAAACCTGTTACACTTTTGACCAAGTTTTGTCCGCTTGCTGCTGACTCATAAAAAAAAAAAATAAAAAAAAAACGGGCGTGCGACGATCTTGCTAATTGCTGGGGGCAGACAAGCGAGGGGAGATACTTGGGACTCGTGTGACTGACACCTGCGATTAGCTTTTAGCCCCCGCTTTTTACCACCACACCGCACCCCCTTCAAGCTCCCTAATCGTTGAACCGAATAATTTGCATGAAACTTGGCTTAAACGTTTCACTCAGCGCAGAGAGAAAAAGAGAGAAAAAAATTGAGTTTCGGTCATTCACATTGCCCCAGGTTTTGTTGGCGTTTGTTTATCTTTGGCTCTTTCATCTCGAGCTGTGAACTTGTCAGTTACAGCAAATTTGCATTGTGTTAATTTAAAATATTCAATTTACTCGTTTAGTAATTTTATTTGAGGCATTTGATATGAGCAAAACTGGTACATGCGTTTTTAAGAGCATTTTAACGTTATTCGACCCGGATTTAAATTGCTTTCGGCAACACCTATGCGAATTAAACAAAAGTATAAAACACCTAAATAATATAAATAAAATCGCAAGTTAATTGTCAATTTATTTGCAATTTGCATTCCAAAGGAATTACGCAGAGGGGATGTTAACTTGAGTACCTTATTTTTAATTTTTACGAGCTTAATTATGGGTAATTTATCATCAAACACTTTGAAAGTGAGAGGTAGCCTACATTTTATATAATTCCGGGGAGCACTCATTTGGATTGGCTAAGGAATTTAAATAATGTTTTCTATCGTCGGTTTTATCAAGGCGATGAGAAATAAAGAGGGATGGCAAGAAATGGAGACGGAAAGGCAAAAATGTAAATCAACTTTAATTGAAATAAATTGTCATATCATTTTGCCCTGGAAATGGACTCAATTAGATGCGGGCCTTATGCCGCTCTACTCTACATTACTTTGCCTATTCTAAAATTTGGTATTTCGTTCTCTCTATGGTCCCTGGAAAATTATAAAGCACCATCATTCAAGGGGGGAAAATGAGAAATTGAAATATGACAAGAACCTATCCAATCAGTCAAGGGATTGATGACCACTCTGGGTAATGGAAAAAAATGGAAAATCTACTTAAGACGTTGTCGGACACATGCCTACATAGATGTAAGACTAATTGAGTGAAAGTCATTTTGTACACGAAAATCATTTGAGATGCCAAACAGCGCTATAAACACAAAATAAACATAATTAATTGCAGACATAAAGTTTGAAAGAAATAAAGAAAGAGATATCTGCTATAATACAGTGCGTTGCATGATCTTAGGTAGTTTTAAGGCCAAAAATTGTGTAAGGGTTTATTTATTTTGAATGTTTTTATTTATATGGTTATTTATATGATTTTCTTAATTCAAAAATAATCAAGTTTTATATGACTTATTCTGCAAAAAGTCCATCTTAAAGCTTTACAATTTCAAAAAGCACAGTGTAAATACTTTAATCTGTTTGGCTTGAAATACAAAATCTTGACCAAAACTTTGCGGTTAAGTGCGCACGCACAATGGACTTCCTCTGATCTCTCTGCCTCACAAAATCTCCGCCTCCCCATAAAAACCACATCTGAAATACAATTTATGCCAGCTGCCGTCGACGTATAACCGTTTTATGCAATTTATGTGCAATTTTTCAATTGAAAAATCGCCGGACCAGGCCAGGAAGGTTTCACTTAATGCGACGCAATTTCAGTATTATTTTTTTACAAAATATTTTCCTCTCGCTCTGTTCGTTGGCGAGTTATTTCGCATGTGCGAAACGTTTCAAATTTAAGTTACTACTGCTACTGCGATGACAGCTAGGCGAACTTTTAATTGCAATTAATTTGAGTGACATTTGCGAAATAAAATGAAACTAGAAATCGATTCGGGGCGGTGGCGACATAGAGCAATTGCAAAATTATTGAAAATATTATGGTTGTCGCCTAGAAAGTTGTGACTTTTTAGATTAGTTGCCGATAACGCAAGCACGTAAAATAGAATTTAAAATCTTTAAGCGACAGAAAGAAGAATAGACCCGCAAAACACATTAAATATTTTTCATTTAATTTAAATTAACTGAGAAAAAAATAAATAAACTATTTTTAAATATAATGGTCTGCCTTATTACAGATTTGTAGCCCATCAAATCTTGTAAATTTTGGTTAATTTATAGATTTCTTACTAGGCCACAAACATTCATGTGCGTATCCATTCATTTATCGAACATACAAACTCCAAAAAAGGCTCGTTCTGGCTTAAGCCACCAATTCAATGTCAAGTTACCGGTCTGACATCATTAAAACCTCATCGTTAACCAAAACAACCGCTTCTAGTGCCATTCATCAAAATCTGGTCTATGTTAAGGCCAGGCCAACTTCCTTATCAATCATATGGCATTAAAGTATTTTTTACCCATTCAATTTGCATTTCAAACGTACCTGCAAAGAAAAGAGGAGAGAAGACAAATGAAATAAATTAATAAAAATTGAAATTTATTCGCAGACGTGGGAAAATATGCTGAAGATACAAGCCAGAAAAAAAGTCGTTCTTGTTAACACATTGAGGGATCAAATGAACAGGCAATAAATTGGGGCCAGATAATTATATTATGTCGGTGGCATTAAGAATATATTGTGTATTGTATATGTATCAGATTTTAACGACAGAAATAACCATAAACACGGCCAAAGTCAAGTGGAAGTCGAGAGCAGCGAAAATCCGAAATCCAAAAAGCCGCAAATTCGACCCGCATTTTTGGTTTGGCTATCAAATTACCCCCGTTTCTCCCCTGCAAACAATTGTCCCGCATTAAAAAAAGAAAACGAAGACAAAGTCAACATTTGGCCCTAAGAGGGGTCTTTTTTTCTCTTTTCTTTTGGGACACACGTGTGACTACAACATTTAACATTATTTGTTGTAGTATAAGCAAATAGGTAAACAAACAGAGACACAAACAGCGGCTAGAAAGGGAGAGGTGTGTAAAACAGAGAGTTTGATTTAGCACGAGCTAAGATTCGCTTTAAATCGAGAGTAAGACACACAGAGACTGCGGCTCCGGATGGAAGAAAAAGTAAATAGTGGCGACAAAGATACAGTGGCCGCTGTTTAAATATTTTACTACTTCTTTAGGACAGTTTTCGAATCAGCTGTACGCTTTCTATAGCAAAGGTTAAGGTTTTTTTTAAGGTTGTTACTGTAATTAACTTACAATTTGCTAAAAGATAGTAGACAAAATTTAATAAATGTGATTTTTTCGCGAAAATTTTAACGAAACTATTAACTCTTGTCGAGGTACCACTGTTCTAAGTAAATCGCCATTGAAAAGTGCACCTTCAGACGGCAAACAAAAAGTGTAATAGAGCCGAGTTTGCTTTTTATCGTTGCTTGCCTGTGATATTTACGACTCGCGATGTTTGGCAATGTTTGTTTTTACTGCGGATTGCTGGAGTTCTTTTTTTGTCTTTGCTTACCGGATAATACATTCCTTGCGGAGGAAGAAAAAATGCCCCTGAGCCCCACAGTTTGACGGCTTTTTATGTTCACAGTGGCGTCGCAAATGATGTTACTCCTCTCTTGTTGTGCACTCAACAATTTCGCTGCGTGTATTTGCAGGGGGTTGGCCGACAACAAGGGTAGTTCACTATTTTTCTATCACTTTATTCTCGGTTTTGCAAATATTTCTCTTGTATTATGATTTCAGTTTGATTTATTTTGATTTGAATATTTTCTTGGTTTTTGGCACAATTTTGTTTCTTTGTATGTTTTTTTAAGATTCACTTTGACTACAAAATAAGTAAGTCAGAAATAAGAACAAGCTTTTGCACTTTAAAGGTTATTATATCTTAGCACACGCAAAACTATTATATTTTTCAATGTCGCACGTGCGAGTGAGCGAGACGGTGCGCGACTGAGCGATAGGGAGGGGACGACGAAAGGCGATATAAAGTACAAATTCTTGTTTGTTGTTTTTATAGGGGTGGCTTTTTGGGCTCCTGGGAAACTGAAAACTCCCTGGATGTTTTAATTTTTCGAAACGAAAACAGAACCGAATCAGCAAACCAAAGAGAAATGCGCAAAAAGACGGCGCAAACGCGAGACAAAAGAGATGATGCGAAAGAGGCGAACCAGAGGAAACGAAGAGGGGGCGGCATCGTCAGACGGTTACAGTAGAAACATTTCAAATTTCGGCTATTTTTATTTTATTTTAATTTTATTGTGATTCTGATTGTTTTCTTTTATGTAAGGTTTTTGTTATGTATTAAAAGTTTTTGCTTTGTTTTTGAAATCACTCACAAAAAGACAGAAGAAAGTTTTATTTTCAAAGAGCTTGCATTTTATTTTCAAACTTTATACCTCCTATATTTATTTGAACGGAAATAAAACCATTCAGTAATTTTAAGTTGTGTTGACATTATAAGTACAATAAGAAAAGTTAAACAAAACATAATCAATTCATGAATTTTTGATAAGAAAAATAATTTACTCAATTATTATAATTATAGTTTCAAGCAAAAGAAGTCAATAAATCCATACAGTGTCGAGCAAAAGAAGTCAATAAATCCATACAGTTTGAATAAAACTATTTAAAACAACACAAGTTGTTTGCTGCACTAAGAATAGGTAATTTAGCATTCACATTCTTAATATTAACTTCTTTAAGAGTACACTTTATTTAGCGCGGACTGTATTTTTGTTGTCTGTTTTTCGATTTTTGATCACACACAAAGAGGTTTGATTGTCTGCGTTACTACGCATCCCTGAGATACTTTTTTCTTCGCGCGTCTGCACCTTTTCCTGCTATTCCGTGCGCTTTTACTTATGAAACGAACTTAATCATCTCTTTGGGTTTATTTCAGACTTTTATTACCGATTTATTTCAATTTTATATATGTTTGGCGTATTGCGGACAAACAAAGAAGCTGGGAGAGAGAGAGAGAGAGCGCACCAGATGAGTGGGAAAAATCGAATCAGAATCTTTGGAGAGCGGCCAAAAAGGATGGCAGGATAAACGAGCAGGCGAAGAGGAGGCGGCAAAGGCAACAACACAGCAACGGCCACAAAAACATGTGCTGTGAATGAATTTTTTTTGTTACTTTTGTGGGATGCTGCGGGTGCGAGTGAGAGGGGGCGAAAGAACGAACAGGCAAAAGAAAGAAATCACGTCCCTTGCTGCTGCTGCTGCTGCTTCTTCTTCTTTCACCCAGCCGCATGGCATATATATTTATTTATAACTTTTCATTTCATTTATCTGCGCGGTTTCTCGCTTTTTTCGCTTAGCTTCGTTCGGCACTGCACTTTTCGTGTTTCAAAAATTAAAGGGGTTTTCCTTTTCATTTTCCCCTCCCGAATTCGCTGTTATTTTGGTTTGGATTTTCTTTAGTACCGTTTTGCTATCTTAAATTCATTCGTGCGTGTGCGTTTGTTTTCACTTTCAAGCGTGCCGAATTTCCACGGGGAACACGAAATTGCCGCTTTCCGACACCCACGACTTGTTGCGATGAGAAAGGTTTGAAAATAAACCGTTTTCTTCTTCCCTAGAGGTGGAGAAACTTCGATGCCATCATCGATTGTTCACAATATCGGTCCTATCGATGTTTGGCAGGGATTATCGTTGTTTTTCCATCCCTAACGAAGATTTCTTTCTCTTTCTGTTAGTTCGACGTTTGGCTAACATTTCGCTGTTAGTTCGACGTTTGACTAACATTTTGTGGTTAGTTTCCTTACAGAAACCCTCTCCCACCGTCGTTTGCCCAACAGAAATCCTCTCTCATCGTCGCTTGCCTAACATAAATGTCAACGCTCTCTCTGTTAAAAACGGTTTAGCGCATTGCTCACAATTGCGGCTGCCAAAACCACTGTTAGCAATTACAGTAGATGGTCAACAGAAATGTTATGGCCAAACAGAGCTCTTCCAATGATATCGATAAGTGCACCACACTGTTAAGGAATTTTGAAATTTTTATAACGGATTTTAAGCAGGGATTCAAATAATAACTAAGAGTTGAAATTTCGTTAAAAGGTTTTCTGAGAAAAGCTGTTTTATTTTTAAGTTGAGATAAATTTTAAAGATCTGAAGTTCTCAGTTTTCATAACACAAATCTTGTATTGCATCTCATATTATTATTGAAAATTAAACTTTTTATTCATCATTCATCACGTCAAAATTCAGTTTTAAATCCAAATCCAGCCAGATTTACTACGTCCCATGTTTTTATTGCTGCATTTCGAGTGCTCCGCCACCCTCTTGAATCCTTCAACCCGTTGTTGACCATCAAAAGCCCTTTGGCATTGTCTCAGTTCCGTCAGTTTTTCCCCTTTTCCCGCTTTCCACTTTCCCTTCTCATATGACCATCATATAGACTGAACAAACAACGTTCGGGTTGAGTTGGAAAAATGTGTGATAGTTGGGTGGTCCAGTAAAACCAAATCAAAAGTGTCAAGCCTCATTTTCGGTTGTCCAGGACAACGCTTGTCAAGATTGCATTAGCAGCATGTTGCTGGCCAAAAATGCGTAGAAAGGGAACTGGTATAGTGCAACTACACTAACAAATAACCTTTAAAATGGTTTAAAAAAATGTTGTTGAATAAAAAAAAATATTGTGAATAAGTAATACATATTTTTTAGAGAATCAAAAGACAACTATCTTTTTATAGAAACTTTTAAACTGCTTATATGACACCTTTTCAATACAAGTAAAATAATTTTATTCTTTGTATTCACATTAGTAAATACATACTCTAATGATATGGAAAATCATTGCATTTTAAGGCTCCCAAAATGTTTAAAAATAACATATAACGTCTGGCTTAATAACACATTTTTCTGGAACAAAAATGGATTTATTTTCAGTGTAGAACATGCAGGACCAACAAATAGTAGGCGTGTTTTTTGGGGGGCTTATTAACGGGACGGACAGCAGCAGGCGTCAGTTTGATAGTGGAAAACAGGAGGGACAAGCGTGGAGCCGGGAGAAAATGGGAAAGGGGGAAAGGGGCCAAAGAGGGCGTTTCTAGATTTACAATTCAAATGGATTTGCCACCAGAGTGAAAGAGAAAGGTTCGGGCAGACAGAAAGAGATGGTCACTCATAGAAAGTGAGAAAAGTTTTGCACTGCATCCGGGCCCAAAAGCCGCACATGATGCGGCGCCCCTTGATTTTGCTCCTCCCCCCCCCTCGATTTTCCCCGCCACCCGCATAAATGCAAAAATCCCCACGGTGGCAACTTTTTAATCCCTTTTGGCCGGCAAATTGTCGCCAACACTCTGAAAAACGGTAGCCGGGGCCGAAATGAGCAACGTGCCAGGTTTTTCACCGCTTTCCACGCTTTTCCACCTTTTTTCGGCTAAGCTGCTTGAGGCAGCAAACGTAAAGCGAAATTGAATGCAGGCGGGTTGACATAAACGGAAAAAAGGTAAATTATGAACATCAGCCGATAAGTTATGAAAGTATATTAAATATTTTAAGGTAAATATGGGGGACAAAAAGATGGTTATTCCAGGGGTAAATCACTTTTAATATGCTTAATGGAAATGCGATGAAAAATGATTTGATAGAAGACAAATGTGAAATATGTGAAAGAATGACATGAAAATAAAATATTTTTTTTGGAATAATAAATTGTTTTCTTTATAGGGCTTCATTTACAAAATCGACAAAGATAACAAAGATACAAAAAATTAATGGTAACCATACATAAAAAATAGTATTTATTTAAAATAATAATAAATCGTAATGGCAGTATTTATTAAACAGCCATTTAATTATGCTTTTTTATAGATAAATCTACTTTTATATCATATGCATTAAAATACCATATTGAAGCTTATTTCGCTCATAAAGCCCAAAGTTTCCATAGCCCTTCAATCGTCGGCCAACCGCAACTTGGGGAAAACTAAAGGCAAATTCCTCACTTCTGCTTACCAACCCCCCGCACCCCTCCTTCCCTCGGGAGCTGACCTGCCTCTGAATTTGATATATGTAAAGAGGGAAGAAAGGGGAAATGCGGCCAACTAACCGCAAACAATAACAAACGATGGCCAAAAGCGAAACAGAAGCTGTTTCTGTTTCAGTCTACACCTACACACCTACACACCTACACCCCTTGCCCCCACCCCATTTTCCTCCTCCCAGGGGCGTAGGCAGTGGGCGTGGCAGCTGCTGGGGGATCTGTCGGGGTGCCATTTACAAGGAGCAAAGGATTTATGATGCCTGTTATCGCGCCCACAACGCGAAGGGTGCACAGCAGGCGAAAACGATGACAAAAGGGCGCCCATGGAGGGTGGGCGGGAAAAATCAGCCAGGGAAAACTCAAAGGGGGTGGGAGATTTCACGGAGGAAGGGCTGGGAAAAATCAGCAATGGCGTGGAAGGCAGATAAAATCTCACACGCAACAAACAAAATATGGACAAAAAAACAAAGCATACTTTTTTGGCCATTTAAACGAAGGCATAAGTTTCATTGAGTCAAAGGTGAAGAAAAATAGTTAAAAAAATTTGGAATATTTTCGAAGCTTATAATATTACTTCTTGTTCTGGCTTTTTACAAATATTTTTTCATTTATTGTGAAAAAAAAAATAAAATAAAAGTTTTTATAAACTTTGTCTAGTTTTCTTTAACTTATTCGCAGTAAAAATTAGAAGAAAGGAAATATAAAATCAAGAAAATACATTTTTAACTTTAATTAAGTCATTTAAAAAATCTAAAAGTGACAGCACTGGCTAAGTGAAATCTACAAGTGCCAAAACAGAAGATTTAATGACTTAAGAGGGGCGAGAAGAGGTCTGAAAGGGTTGTTTTCGTTTTTTTGGGGGGAGGGCAGCTATAAACACATGTGTTCGTTGTAGCGCAAATTGGGTTGAGCTTTTCACCCGCTCCAATTAATCGGGATCTTATGGGGTTATTTATTTCAGGCAACCACCACCGGTGACCTTGAGTGTTGCCATAAAATCTGCATTAATTAAATTAAATTCCCATGCCAAAACAGAAAACCTAGCGTCTAATTAAAAAGCCAAAAAACCGTTTGCCCATTTGGCAGAGGCTAAAAGTATCTATTACTGAATTTTAGTGGGGCTCTTACCGCGCCAGCCTCCTAAATTAGTCAATAAATTAAGGCAGCCAGAAAGTTGCTGTTTCGCTGTTTCCGCTCGCTCCATCCTAACGAGCCAAAAACCATTGCATTAAAAAAACCATTCATTAAAATGGCGAAATGTGGCGCTTGAATTTATGGCTTAAATGGCAGGGAGACCTGTGCGTCTCAAGTGGCAAAAAAAAACATAGAGAAATAAACTGAAACAGAATCAGAAACAGAAATAGAAGCAGCTTCCTCATTCAGAACGATTCAAGTCTTTAACCGGAGTTTCGCCTGGAATTCCCTCGACTCCTTTGCTTTTTACCGCAGAAAAGTGGGGAATAAAACTAGCAGGTGGGCGAGGCAGCAAGTGGAGAACATTTGATATCCTCTTTTTACGATTTATCAACTCTTTATCTAACATTTACCTCTGATTAAACATTGGCAAACATTTTTGTAACAAAATATAATGTAACAATATATAAATTAACTGAAAACTGTAGAGAATTTACTAACTGCAGTAAATTAAATATAATTAAATATTTAGAAAAGTAAAACATATTTAATTTAAGATAATAAACCTACGGTATAAACTATATTCATGGATATTTATCAAAAAAATAAAGAAAAAGAGAAACCAAAAACTTTAATTACAATAAAGCTTAAATGCATTTAAAAGATTTATTTAATTTGTAAATAATATTTTACTGTTTGATTTTCGGAAACATTCTCACGATGAGTAATTTGTATGCAGTACACTGTTCAAATTTTATCCTGAATTTAGGCAGGAGGTCGAGGAGTGATGGTACCCACAGGCCCCACAGTTCAATGCGCTCGCCATGCACTCAATTATAATTTGCGAACGACTCTCAGACAGAAAGGCCGCCCATGGGACGACGATGACGCGTCATCAGGCCATTAGCAAAAAGCAACTCAGACATATGTTGGGGCAGGGAAAAATGGGGAAATAGCAGAGCAAGAGATACACTACAAAAAATTACATTTTTGTAACGCTAAATTTATAAAAATTATATTTAATTTTAAAGAACTCCGTACATTTTGCAGAATAAAATCAACAAATGTGCAGACTTGGCTAAAAACATATATATACAAATACTATATTTAACTTAAATGTGTTTTCTGTGAGTGCAAACACAGCCAAATTGTATGCAGCATTTGAAGAATGATAAAAGCATGTTGTAGGTTTGGGTTTATTTCTCCTTTTCTCCTGGACTCCCCACATATTTCTTTCATTTTGTGTCGTTTGGTTTACTTAA